GCTGAATCTTTCATGGATTTGGAAGCATCTGTCTCAACAATTACCTTTCCACTCTTTCTTTTTGTTTTTTTTTTTTACTTTGAAAAGTATCACTTCTTTCAAATATCTATTTATTAAATACATTTTTTTTAAAACAGAAGTATATTTTACCTGCTTTCCCTTCCAGTCTGCTTTTGCTAATGGAAAGCTAGAGGACTCAGTCTCACATAAAAAGAGTCAGTCTACTATTTTGAAAATATTCTTCATTTTTAATATGGTGTTTTAAATAAAATATAACTTCAGGCCTGAGTTAGAATACATAATACTTCAAAAACTGAGGAACAGGTAGCAAGTAATATGAAAATTATTTTTACTTTAAAGTAAAGCCTGCTTTAAAAACAGCAAAGCTGATGATCTCTTTGAATTCTCAGGAAGGCATAAAACAACCACCAGGCTTCTGTCTAGTCATTTTTAGTTTAAGCTTCTTGAAGATGGTCATGAAAAATGTGAAGAGCTAGCTACTTCCTATTTTCTGACTCATTATTCTACTGGAAAATCTAACTGTAAAACTGGAATTCACAGAGAAGCATTATGTACTCATGAAACTTGTTCAAAATTCAACCAACATGTTAATTGATTTCACCTTCATAACACCTGGTGAGAGGGGACGTGAGACACCCTAGGCCTGGATTCAGGATTTCAGGGGCAACGACTTGAATGAGGTCCAGGGCCCTCAAACCTGAGTAGAATTACACTGAATCATAGGACTGGAAAATATTAGAATATCCTGATAAATAGATGAGCACTGTTTTAAAGGCAGGGGGTAGGTGGGGTTGGGGAGGACAGTAAGAGAGGGATTTATTACTTCTGTCCTTCATCATTCTAGGGCCCCAAGTTGCTTACTATTAGGAAATTCATGCTTGTGTTTGCTATGATTCTTCATGCTGTAAAAAATGTCTTCTCTTGTTTTGATTCCTGTGTAGACTGACAGCTGGATGTCGTTTTTGATATAATAAAGTATAATTACAATAATATTTTAAAAGATCATGTCTAATCTCATTCTAACTAACTAAGGATTTCCCAAATTACTACCTTGTAACCCAAGATTCTTAGGTAATAACTAGAGGGGGTTGTAGCTTGGAAATAGGATTTTCCTTTGGGAGTTAAATAAAGAAAGCCAACTCAGAAATGTACAAAGTCACTAGAAGAGACAGTCAATAGTGTAATTGAAGGTGTTGACATGATTAGAGGAAAGTGGGCAATCGAAGGTGGGGTGGTGACACACAGAACTAGCAGGGACTCAAGACAGACATGCCCATCCAAGCACCATATGTGAGAGACAGCATTTTGGAGAAACCCTGCTGTGTAAGGAAAGCAGATGCAGCCTATTGGAACCTGGAGATGGGCACACTGCAACATGTGCAAGGATGCCTGTATTCCATGGAGTCAGTCACCAGCTCCCTCTCTCGGATTCCAGGTTCACTGAGCATCCTGATAATAAGGATTCCTATGGAGAGAGCCTCTGAGGAGGGGTTGTGCTGACCACAAGGTGCAAGTGTTTGTACCTCCTTGGTAGTAAATTCGTCTCCCAATTATAGGTACAGTAGCATATCTGATCTTGGTTAATATGACTGCCTCTAGAAGATGAAGTCTATGCCACTTTTATACCAAAGAACACTCACAATGATAATAAATGCCACCTAGTGGGGATGCAGGTGCAACCTGGTCACCTGCAGAATGCACCACCTGAAAGGAGGCACCTCTGCCCTCCTCCGATGCCCAGGGACACCCTGTGACTGGCCCCTTTCTCTTCATGCCTCGGTGAAAACAGTATTCTTTTGGATACTAGTGATTCCAAAGGCTGGAAGCATATTACATTTACCTGAACTTAAAAAAATAATCTAATACCTGGAAATGCCATCCCAGGCCAATTAAAGGTGGGAATCTCAGCTTAAAAGCTCTCTGCGTGTTTCTGATATTTCCCCAGGTCTGAGAACCGTTAGCTTGCTTATTGATAGAAAAGAGCATTTTCTGGTAGGATGAGGGGGAGAAGTTCCCTGATATATCTCTAAAAACAGTTAATAAGTGTTTTACAGATGGGGAACCTGAGACTCAGAGACATGAGGCGACTTCCTCCAGTCCAAATACCTCACAGGCAAATGGCGTCAGGGCTGGAACAGAAAATTTCCTTTACAAAATATCAAGGGCTTTCCATGGTATCTGGGAGAAGGCAGAACAGGAGGAAGGAACTCTGCCAGATTCTGGTGGAGGAAGAAGGGAGAGGAGTGCAAGGCAGAAAGGGCGTCCAGGAAGACTTCCTAAGAAAATGCAAGAAGGGGGGAAATTTTCAGAATGGTCTCCAGCAGTGATCTCCAAAGTGTGTACAAAGAGCTCAGGGAGGCAGCAGGAAAGCGGTACAATTTATTTTATTTAGTTTTTATCTCATAATATTTTTGCATGTTTAACAAAGTACGGGATACGTTGATATAGTAATATATATATATATATAATTTATAAGGAAATAAATACACCTATAATGGTAGTACGTGCTCAAACAATTGTACTGGTAGGGACACATAGTTAAAAGAGCATACTTGTTTAGAGTATTAAACAGAGTAGAAAACTTAATTTTCAAGTTGAAATGTGTAGAAAAGAGAGTTTATAGGTGGCACAGTTACATTGGTTTTAGAAATAAAATGACATCACGAAGGATAAATCAAATGTAATTTCTCCCAACATGCAGGAAGTGAATGAATGACACTGCTGCCCCTCTGAGCTGAGCAACTCCGAGTTATTTCAGGGCTACCTAGGTGACAGCTACCTCCTGATGTGGGCAACGGGAGAACACCGCAGCAATCCATGTATCAAAGATGAACAAAATGAACTCAAAGGCTTCCGGTTTTCTTGCCTCATCTTCGGGTTGCATGTATTCATCTTTGGCAACAGCAGAAGCCATCAGGGAGTTTTAATTAGAGGAGAAGCATCACCAGGCCTATGACTTATAAGCACAGGTAGTAAAGGTACAGAGAGAGTGGTCAAGAAAGGGGAGACCAGAAAGGGGCAGAAGAGGCTGGGGCCCAAGCTAGAGCAGAAGGACTGAAGGGAAGGAATGGATCTGAGAGACATTTTAGAGATAACACTTCATGGAAGTTTGGATGTGGGAAGAGGGAGAAAAATCCAGAAGTGGCTGGGAAGATGATAATGCCCTGTCCTAGTATAGAAAGATGGTAGGGATAAAATATTATGACTTTAATTTTGGGTAATAGGACCTTCCACTCCTGAGTGGTGTGGAGGTGACATGCCACAGACAGCACTGGAAGTGAAGATCTAGGCAAGCTGAAGCAAAACCATTTCCTTCCATCTCAACCCTCTTATGCCTAAGTTCTTTGCCTTTTTGGAAAGTCACCAATTTCTTTGAGACTCTGAAGACCAGTGATTGGCCCCACTTCAGAAAAAATAATGTACTCACCCCAACATAAAATTGTGCATATACTTTATAGGATCCCTAACCTCCAGAGGTCCATCCATGACTTCCGATTGGAGCTCTTCCCTAACTGGCTCCTTCACTGTCCTCCAAACCTGCCCTATTTCCCTATGTGTCATTCTTCTGAGTCAGAGATAATTTGCTAATGATAAGTCACTTCCTATTTTAGAAATCCTGATGACCTGTGGTCAAATGCTTCTGTTCATCATGCTGATTGAAGAACTGTAGTTTTTAATGTTGGGTGAGAGGTGGAAGGAAGAAGGGAGAAAAAGATATCAATTTGAGGCTTTGTGAGTCCTCTGAATAAGTAATCATACAGCTCAGAATGAGATGCAATGGGATTCATACAGCAGCACCTGTGAATGATTCTCGCCTAACTGAACCGGAATCTCATGAGAAGCATAGACTAGTTAAAAACACCCTAAGAGAGATATCCGGGAAATCCAGAATGAGGGCTATGCTATGCAGTAAATGACCTAATTGCCCTAACAAATTAACAGCAATAGGACTTTGTATAATGCACAATCTTGGAAATTAGAATATATGCATAGAATTGGATATTAATTTAGCTAAGTACAATAATGGTGGCTACGTATAATGAACATATTCTTACCAATTGGAGATGCACACTGTTGTATTTGTGAGTGTGAGGATATAGTACTTGGAATTTGCCTTGAAATAATCCAGGAAACAAAGCTTTAGGGATGACAGATGAAACAAATTTGGCAAAATGCTGGTAATTGTTGAAACTGGATGAGGGATATGTGGGGGTTTATTATATTCCTTTCTTTTAGAATTTCCCACAATGTTAAAAAAGATTGTAAGCTATTTTTTTTCAAGTGTGGTTCTAAAATCTGGCTGATGAGAGTATCCTGGGGAGCTTAAAAATAAAACAGATTCTGATTGTTACACAGTCCTCCTGATTTGTCCTCTCTGGGCACGTCCATATTGGGTGGGTCATTGTGTTGTTTCGTAATATCCCAGGCCACTGTTTCGGCTAGTTCTTATGGCCCTCAGGGCATATGTCACCTCTCCTAAGGTCTGACCCAGGAAATCTTACACCAGTCTTCCTTCCGCCCCTCTTATTTCTCTCTTTCCTATTTCTCTGTGCTGTCTCCTGGCTTTCTCTTTCTGAACTTTATTAAGGGTTTAGGAGAGGAACCTGAAGATATTGGCAATCTATTACTCTTAAAATATTTGCATTACTGTCATGGTTTCCACTTGGAGCGCCATAAATCTTTTTCCTTGACATAAAGAACTGTAATTTCTTTCTAAAAAAGGAGCACAAGCACTCAGCATCTCACGGGAAACCAGCTTGGGCGGGCCTTTCCCATTCCCATCTGGGCCTTGGTGGTGTCCTCGCTGTTAAACCTGACACCTATGCTCCCAACAGTTACTTCTATGAAGTTCTCTTACCACCCCTTGGGGAGAGATGTACCCGCTGACTAGGTGTATCTCAGTATAAAGTTGTTTGTAATGTGTGGTCTTACTATGTGGGCTTGTCATTTTCATCATTCATAAAAAGAAAACACCAAAATTCGTTCTTAAATAATTTATTTTTTAATATTGACAATTGTGAGGAATTACACTTTTTAAGGAAAACTTGAAGAAATCTAACAGAGGGTAAACAGAATCTATTAGGGACATGTGCAAATTTCAAATGCTTTCTTTAGCTATAAATAATTCCACTTATTCACATTAAGAATGAAAATATTGATGCATACAAAATATTAAAATATCAGCTTTAAAAGAACTAGTTGAAAACACTGAAGTTAATTTGAAATCTTCAGAAAGAAATTATAAAGATTTATGCCAAAGGAAAAAAGCTTATGGGATTTCAAGTAGAAAACATGTCAGGTAATACAAGTAAAGGCTATGTAGAGTTACATAGATTGTGAATATTTTCAGGTATCCCAACTCCAGACTGAAAAAAAAAACCCCAAAATGGCAGCCTTTACCTCTGGGAACTATGTGTTTCCCTCCTTTCTTTTTCTAGAACAAGTATGACAGTAATACAAAGCACACAGAAAAACTGCAGGCCAAGGACAGAAAATTCCTTAGACTTAGGGTTCAGGGGTTTTGCTGTCCCAATGCTACGGTGTCGCTGGGTGCAAGGTCACTGCCAGCACTCCAGGACACAGCATCCACACAGAAAATAAAACCATCATGGAAGACCACACCTTTCCTTGCGGTCTTCTCCAATCTCATCCCTGCTTCTTCCCGATCTGAGCTCTTAAGAGGTAGGGTACTCAAGACACATCTACATATGGTGGAGAACAGTTTCTTAACTGACAAGCTGGGAAGCAGCTCTGACCAAAGTTTCATTAAGAAGTGTGAGATTTTATTGAATTTACTATTGATGCAATTCCTTCTTTCCTGCGGAAGGAAACCAAAGTGCGTTGAAGAGGCTGACTCCCCCCACTGTGGTCAGGAATTTGCCTGGTTCAGTAACATGAACATGACCAAAAACAAGTATGTTACTTCAAGAAGACAGTACAGTGTTTTCCCCAGAGCAGAAGAGACATCTTCATTTAAATAACCTTGAAGTTTGCAATAAAATAAATAAAATGAATTATACACACACAACAGAAAGCTCCCCTTTAACAAGGCAGCTGGTTGAGTTCATGCAAGCTGTGTAGAGGGGTGGTGCCCCAACAACAACCAGAAAATAGGTTATTATTATTATTCAGTCTTCCTATTTAAACTAGGGCATTTCAACATAATTAACCAAAAATTCCCTCATACATAATATAAGGGTACATTATATATGTACATATTTTTATGCACACCTCAGTTTGAGCTAACCTCTTTAGAAGTGAAGACTGTGATAACCAAAGAGTTATACATCTTCCCACTAAAATATTCTGACTGTTAAAGGTGCATATTGTAAAGAGCAGCTGGTTTGCTTTTTCGTATATGAACGTATTCAGTCTCGGCAGTCTCATGATCACAGTTCATGGATGGTTCTGCTTCTGCCAGGTCCAAGGGAAAGAACGAGGCAGGTCAGGAAAAACCATTAACTACTGATGCTCTGAATATGTCCATTTTCCCTGAGGAGCTTCTCATGGAGGGCCTGCAGGCCACATGAATTCAGCTTCGACATCTCTGAGAAATGCTGACGGAGGGCAGGGGGACTGGTTCTGGGTTTTCCACTCACCCTGTCTTCTCTTTTTACTCGAATGATGATAAAGCAGTCCTGGCATGCATTCCAAGTCCATCAAGTTCCTGGCCTTCTGCTTGGTAGGAGGGGAAGAGGAGCTCTGGGCTGAAGCCACCAGGTGCTGCCAGTCACAGCTATGCTCTATGGACACCAGGGAACGTTCCCTGATTACCAAATTCGAGGCCATGACCAAGAGCTTCTCTCTCCTCCCCACTCAGAGACACCCTCGAGCCCACTGTTGCAGGGCAGGCCCTCCAGCAGCATCTGGTTTCGAGTGTAGCACCACGCTGACTAAGGGCTTGAGGCCCATCTCCACTGGGGCTGGCCCATCTGTCTCCGGTTAGCCATACATCTGCTTGAACTGAAAGCACTCGTTGCAGTAGCCGTTACACTTGGCATTGCCGAAGTGATCGCAGGCAGGGGCCCGGCAGCGCTGTTTGGGGGGCTCTTCGGGAACGAGCTCGCCCCGGTGGGCCCCTGGGGCCACTCGCTGGCTGAGGTGCTGGCACTCCATGCAGAGTTCCTCACTGCGGCAGGCCAGGATGTTTTTGCAGGAGGCCCGGGCACACTTGGGCCTAGAGGCACTCTGTGTGGTTCGCGGCATGTCTCTGTGCTGGCTCGATCTCTATGTGGAAAGAGCAGAGAGAACTATTGTTCACGTCTCTCAGGGAGAGCACACAGCAATCTCAGCTGATGGCATGGATTCTACAGAGAGCATCCTCCCGGCCAAGCGAACCAGACTTCCACACCCAGTCTGGGAACAGGAGCTCTCCGAGGACGTTCCCTCCCAGTGCCTAGAAAGCAGACCTAGCCCCAGGGAGGCCGAGTGCAACCACCAGTCCTCTCACGGAAGCCTGCAAACACTGGCCCAGCTCACTTCTGTTTGGATTAATAATAAACTGCTCTACCATTCTGTAAACAACAGGAGAGGCACCTGTCAGCCAAAGTTTGTCTTTCCACATGCCATTAAGTGGAGGTACCTGGGATACTGTCCTCCTTGTCTCCTCACGATAAAGGACTGTTCAAGAAAGTCTGCTGGCCACTTAGATGTCTGTGCTTCTACTACAAATCCAAGAAGTCTCTGATCACACTGCCTTTTTAGAGGCAAGAGGTTTTATTCTATGGCTGATTTTATTTGCTTTTTAAAATGAAATCTCAAGTATCCTTCAGCCATACACATCAACAGTAGCTGTTGCCCTTCCAGCCCCAGGGTGGCCAGAGTGACTCTGCCCCCTTGTTCTTCCCTGGAACTCAGCAGGCACAAAGGTCTGCTGACACAGCCGGAAGCCGCTGCTCAGCAACTGGCCCACATGAGATGGGAAAGTACCTCTGAGTGTCTCACCAGTTGCTCTTCAGTCCTCTTTGCTTCATGAAATCTCTGATTCTGAGCTTCAATGAAACACTTCTGGCAGTATCCTTCAAACACAGCACTTCCGAGCGTGCCACATTCCCTCCCCAGGCAAGGGACAGCATTCTGGAACCTGGAGGCCATGGGACTGGCTTTCCCCAGAGGGGCAGCAAAATCTACAAGAGAGTTGATGCTCATCAGTACCACAGAAGGGTCACCGAGCAGACAGGACACTCACACTGGAGAAATAAACAGACTCCAAATACAGATTAGGCCAGCCTTCTATATATATATGAGATGGCCTTCTACAAATTCAGCAAAATTAGACAATAATAACAGTATTATTGAAACATCTTTGACTTTACAAATTTCTCATTTTTGAAAATACTGCACTGGTCATAGTAACATTACAGAGACATTAACTGCCCATCCTTCTTTCAAATCAGAGATTTCTGAAACCACAAATGTTTTCCTATAATATCAGTTGGAGACCTCCATCTCTCCAGCTATTGTTCCTCAGATATTGCATTTTCCTCTATTACATGAAAGTTTCAAAAGATATCTTCTTTAAACTCTACCTTATAAATGCCAGATACCGACTGACCTTCTAAAACAAACTCTATGACCTCTAGCCACAGGATGCTTTTGGGTTTCAGAAAGTGGTGCTGTGGGCCTTTGGTCTCCCTGGGTGGCTGGCAGAACCACGGCCACTGGCCCTCTGTGCCAACCACGCTCTACCCCACTGCCCAGAGGGGCTCCTGGAAGTTCAGGAACAAACACCTTCTAAACAGGAGTTAGGAAATCATTTCACTCACGTTTATTTTCTCTGTACTCGATGAAACACAGCGTGCAGAAGCCCTTATTTTCTGGAGTCCCAAAATACATGCAGCCAGCTTTTCTGCACTTGCTCGTTCCCGTCCTGTCCCCTGGAGTCCGTGCGGCCTGAGAGAGGCAACTGGAGGGAGCCTCGTTCCCGGCTCTGTGACAAGAATGTGGGGAGAGACTCTGGATGAGCTGTGAGGGGTCTGACTTGGACCGCTGATGACAGGAAGGAGGGATGCTAGAGCCAAGGCTCGAGGAGGGCTCTTTCGTAGTCCTTTTGAAGCAAGTACTGCAGATCCCATTAAACGTCCTGGTGGCATCCTGCAGGCAGGCTCGGCACTTACCAGGATCTAAATGCCTCATGTCCGCGGTGGGGCCAGTATTGAGCTGCCGGGCATTGTGGCAGCGCTCACAAAATCCATTGTGCTGCACGTTCAGTGTGAAAGGGCAGCCCGGGCTCTTGCACTTCATAGCGGTGGTCTCGCTGAACAGGAAAAGGCTGGGTGCTGTTGGAGGGGCAGAATGAGGCCCCCCAGAGGGCCCCTCGGGGCTCCAGGCCAGGGGCTCATAGGCCTCGCCCCGAGAGGCCCCGAGCGCCCCGCCAGGGAGTCCTTCCAGGCCCGGCTTGGAGTTCAGCTTTGGAGATCTGTTTTGGTTCTTTTGCCTCCTCTCTGAGCATTCGTGGCACAGAGGCTGGGTGTTCACAGACATGAAGAAAGGACAGTTGGGTGTTTCACATTTCATGTCCATGAGGGAAAGCTGGGGAATGGAAGAATCCAAAGGATTCTGAGCACGCACATCTCTCTGCTCCTGCTCATTGTTTTCCTGCCACTTCTTGTACTCATGCTGGACAAGTTCAAAGTAATCATCTACCAGATTTATTTCTTTTGGTAAGTTAGCTTCATCCAACCTAAAAGCCAAAAGGAAAAATATGAGACTACACACATATACGGACGCACACATACAGATCCACACATGATTTTATATCATTAGCTCACAGAGCAGACTTTCAGAATGTGGATTATTGCAATACCTTTATAACCATTCACTGAAATGCAGGCCTATGATAAAGAACAGAACACACTCCAGTACTGCTGAGAAGTCTTCGTTATTTCGAGAATCAGTCTTATTTAGTCAATCTTTGTCCGCCCAAAATTATAGATAATTCTAAAGGAAGAGCTACTCTGGGCTGCCTCTGCACTTCATGCCTACAATTATTCCTCTTATAAAAAGTCACTTTTACTTCTCAGAGATCAACTTTTTAACAAAACACCAGGGTATTCATTTGGGACCACCTACGTTACAGCTCAAACTACTTCACAGCCTTGCGTGCTGTCTTTTGCTGTTATCAGCCCCACACTTGTGCTTGGTCTCTACTAGAACTGCCATGAGCAGAAACTAAGAGGAGGGCCCACCCATGGGTGCTGTTTACTTTTGACTCTTTGTAGTTTGCTAACCTCCACTTTGAGAAACTGATTTTCATCCGCCTTCACGGTCTTTTCCTATGCATTTCAAGTTCTAAGAAATAGGCATCCCCTTCACATAAAGCCAGCATTTAAAATTTGGATGCCTGTACAATGAGCAGTCTGGGTTGATTCCCCTTCTATGTGGCAAAATCGTGTGGGTGCCCCATAAACACAATTTACAACACAGTGTGTGTCTGATCTGTCTGTCCTTACCAAGAAGCTGAGGGAAAAAGGCCTTTTTTGCCCCAAGAATTTTGACTTGCTAGTGTAGTACCAGGGTTAAAAAAAAAACAAAAAAACGAGCACTATCCTTGATTGTAGTATACTTAAAAGCCACAATTCTGACTTCCCGCATCCAGATATGGAGGGAAATTGTTTTGGATAAATTATTTGCTCCCATTTGAAACCAAAGTTAATTTTGCCTCAAGTGATCCTCCCTGACTCATGTATGAGTCTCTGAATTTGTCTCACATTGAAGAAAACTGGTTTCAAATAACTTTGTTGTTGAGCTCTGGGGTGGCATCAGCTTACATGGCTAAAGAAAAAACAGTTAAAGATGACAAAGGATAGAGCTAAAAATAAGCTGCTTACTTTGCGGCATTAATCAGATGGGTGGTACCATGGTCCCAGCCTTGGACCGGGATTTCTATCACCATCAAGTACTCTTTTAAGAGCTTGTCCTTCAACTCATTTTCAGGATCTGTCAAAAAGTGAACTTTTAAGTCTTCAAATCTTCCACGCTCTCTGTTAACAAGTGGAACAGCACGGATTTCTGAGGGAAAAAAAAAGGTAACACATAAGCAAAATATGAGTTTACTTAATGAGATTATGTGAGACCGTATATGACAATTAAATCTTGAAAATGAAGAAAGGATACAGTTAAAAAGTCAAACTCAAATGGGGAAACAAACTACATGAAACATAAAATGCTTTGTGCAGGAAGCTCAAAGAATATTAAGTAGCCTGGATTGCAGATACTACTGGTTAAATGCCCACACTTCAGAATCAGACTGACCTGAGTTCAAATCCTAACTTTGCCACTATCATGCTCTGTGGCATTAGGCAAATTATTTAACCTTTCTAAGCTTCAAGTGCCTCATCTGTACAATCAGACTGACCTGAGTTCAAATCCTAACTTTGCCACTATCATGCTCTGTGGCATTAGGCAAATTATTTAACCTTTCTAAGCTTCAAGTGCCTCATCTGTACAAAAATCTACCAAGGCTTACAGCTCATAGGGATGCTGTGAAGATGAAATGAAACATTAAGCTATTATGATAATAGCTAACCTGACAGACGTTTACCTGCTTGGGGCCAGACACTGTATAAAGGGCTCTGTGAACCTTCTTTAGTAGTTAATAGTAATGGTAGTTATAACATGTATACAGATGTCTCCTATTTGCAATTAACCTGCTGAAATTACTTACCAAGCCATCCCAAAAAGACAGGAGGTAATTATGATTTCTGCTATCACATTAGTGTTTCTAACCAAGCAACAAAGCAAACGACAGAATACTAAATTTAAATAAAGATAATATACTTAAATGAGACTATTTCAATAAGGAACAAAAGAACAAACCCTGACGTTCAGTGGGAACAGGGTGTACTGCTATCTACCAGCAATTACAAGTGTGAATTGATGCTCAATTTTCTCACCAGGCCCGCTGTCCTTCAGGGTCACCAGGGGCACAAAGTGTTGGCTGTCGTAGCCGAGAACGATGGGGTATCTGTAGCATTCCTGGGCAGGCCAATGCAGAGGCAAGTAAATCCCTCCCACCTTCAAAGGAGCGAAACTGGAACCTGATTCCAAACTTCTCAGCATTTTGTCTGCATAAGAGAAGAGAAAGAGCAATAAGGCCATCAGGTGATTTTCATCGAATTCCACTTGGCTACTGTTGCCTGTGACTTTGGCAGAGTGGCTTTTTCCTAAGAGCTGAAGCTTCAAGTCAAAAATGAATATGGGCTCTGTAGGCACCTCACCTGAAATGACAATGATTGGCCTTCTGAGGATGTTGCAAAGGACAAATACGTGAATTTCTTCCAGGGAGTTATACTGAAGTCCACTTCGGGCCACTAGTGTGTCTGTGGTTGCCATTTTGATAAGGTTGTCCCACTCATCAGTCCAATTCTAAGGAGAGAGGGTTAAAGGGGAAAAAAATGATTGAATGTACTCTGCATTAAAAATTCATTATGAGTTCACTCTAATTATTCATTTATATACCTCAGCTGACTTGTCCCCTTTCTGGAAATCATCATTCAAATGATCACCTTTTTCACCCATTTTGGTTTTCTTCCTTTACCTTTTTCCACTCTAAGGCAAACTCTAACTCAAAAGTGGGGGAGGATGGGGCAGTACCTGTTTTCAAAAAAAATCCCTGATGTGGCATAACATTGAAGCCCCTGATCCAAACAGACACAAAAATTCCGAATTTGTGACTGCAGATAGTGAGGCACAAATCTGAATTTGACCAGCTGACTCAGTAGAGTATACAAGGGGCAATAAAAGCGAAACACAACCATAACACCACAGGAAAAGCCGTCATCAGAAGCCCTTCTGCTAAAACGAAGAGACCTACAGCTGGGAATCTACTAGCCCGAAGCCTCCCAGCAGTGACTAAAGCCTCAGGTTCATCCCACAGGAAGATTCTGGTGTTTTCCGTTGACTGTGTTTTGCTTAGCCAAGTTCATGTGATCAGTAAATCATATGCTCGTTGAGAGCAGGGTCTGGCCTAAAGGGCCCTTTACCAATCATGCGGTTCTACCAATAGATGGTTAATGGAACAAAACATACCCGAGTGTCATAGCAAAGCCCCGTTTCCACGAATTCCTGAGATTTAAGAGACTCCAGCTGCCAGCGGAATTTAAAGTTTCTCGTGTCCGTCTCTTTGAGAGTGCTGAAGAGTGCCTTCCTCAGGACCAAGTCTGTGTCCTGAACACCCCACATGTACTGAGAAGCAGCATGCATGAGGCAGTTTCCATCACCTGAGGACAGAAGCAATCCACATCTAAGATGTAGCAAAGGTTTTCAGAATAAACTAGCACTACTGCTGTCCCAGGGGACCATGTGGGGTGTGTGAGAAATGCAAATGGTTTAATTTCTTAGTTGAAGGGCCAACTGATAATATTTCCAAAGGTGATGACAGTTTCAAGGAAAAAAATGATGCTTTTCACTCTTATATTTTTCATGACTGAGACCGTCAGAGCAAAGGAGCCAGGGACTGATTGTCAGGGGACCTTGGTTCCAACCTGAATCTGCCCTAACTAGTTCAGGTGACCTTGGGGGAAATTCCTTAACTGGTGTGAGTATTTTTGTTTTTTGTAAAATGAGGGCATTGAACTTCTAAAGTCTGTCCCTTTCTAACACTCCTTGATGTTTGGGCTAAGACACTGGTACTATTACTCCGACACTAGGAGAGGGCACACAGGGCAATATGCACAAACCAGGAAGCTAGCTTGGCTTCGTTTACCAGACAGGGATGCTCTGGCTATGACTCAGGGACCATTCCACTGCAGCCTTTGGGGCCTGGGAGTTTCCTCCCCTGGTCTGTAAAGTGGGATTGTGAACACCGAATTACCTACTGCCAGCCTGCCCGTCACCACCCCTGAGAAATATCTTACGTGAACCTGCTTGGTAGGACCTAGATGTCTAAATTAGTAAATAACTCAGTGTTTAGGACTGGCCTTTTAAGAAGTTTGAGTATTTTGAAAACAAAAAAATAGGTCTAATTTTATTCCATGAAATTGCTACTTTTACAGGATAATACCCCCAATTTTATTTTCCAATCTCCAAACAAATATTTGGGGGGAATGTTTAATATAAAAAAAGTAACTCCTTAATCCCCTTTGGCAAGTGCACAGTTGTTTTTATGCAGCAAAGTTCCACTGTTTTCTTACATTACTCTATAAGTAGGGAAGGAAAAGTTATTCGAAATTTTGTCAAATTTTACTTATAGACAAACTGTAAAAAACAAAGCAAACCCTTCAAATGTATATCCACAATCAGTATACCTTCAATTTACATGCTTAGGAAAACTAGCTAGATTAAGCATTCCAACAAATGAACAGAAAAGATCGCTCAAGCCTTGTGCCTAGGCAGAAGTGTAGCAAGAACTGCATTCTGTTGAAATTTCCCCTTTGCAAAATCTAGAGCAAAGATAAGGCTTTTTTTCTTGTTCTTGTGCTTACTTTCAGTTCTTTATTGAGATGCACCAGTATAAAATTCCCTAAGTAACATCTGGAATTCCCCAGTGCTAAGTTATTTGACTAGCAATTGAGCAACAGCTATTGTACTTTTTGTTCTGGTGTGTAGACATTTAAACTGCGACGTGCACCCTGGACTTTCCAAGTGGGTGTGGTCAGGCTGAGCTGGAATAGGGCTACTCATTATACAAGTGAAATCGCTGCAGCCAATAGACGCTGGAATTTTTCACATGAAGTTTCAATTTTATGCCACCTACTCCCTTCCTCATTCACCACAGTCTCATATCCTCAAATGCAAACTTGTGAACTACCCCCTCCCCAAACAGATCATTGACTTTGTAGAACCCTCTAGTGGGGCAGTTTTTAAAAAAAGGGGCTAATAAAAACCAGAAAGGAAAAGTCATTTATTTTGCCCCCTCTGCTCAATATCTTTTCTACCTTTTCCAAATTTTACAGACTTTCTTGAAAGTGTGAAATAAAAGGATTCTGAGCCTAAAAATCCCCATTCCCTAGAAAATGCTATTAGGATGCACTTGCTTTATTTGGAGTGCAAATAGTTGTTGATTTAAATGACATGCCCTTTGCAAAACAAGTGTTTGCTATTTATAGCCATTTTTTCTTAAAGAAATAGAGCAAGTTTAAACCTAAAATATCAGTTAATTCTGTTAATTATAAGAAGCTTTTCCTCTTTCTGGCACATTTCTAATTTGGCAGAATCTGTTTCCAAAGCTGACTCCACCTCTTTTTTTGGTATAACAAAATGGGAGAGTTAAAACCACAAACTGTCAGGAATACAAACTCCTTGATGATGACTTAACATAATTACTGACTTCTATGCATCACTTGATTTAATGCCAAGAACAATATAAACACTAGCTATCCCCAGTTTTCTTTCTGCCTATCTTTCTAAGAATATATGCTTCAAAAACATAGGCAAGGTGTTGAGGTGACATGCACAAGACCCCTGGAACCAAAGTGAAAGAACACCAATCACTCCCAGTTAATGTACCAATTAAGCTAACTAGGTTAATATTCTCATCATCTCATTGTCAACAAGGATTTTCTGCACTCGGATGCAATATTATTTAATTGAAATGGTTTAGGACTGTCTTGATATAAGGACCTAAGAATCTTGCCGTTACCTAGGCTATAAGCATCTTGCTTATCGAGGTACAGTCTACTTGCTTTTTGTAAAAATGAGCTACATTACAATGTAGAATTTTGTATCTGCATGGAATAGTATGATTGGATGTTTCCTATGATATGCATACATATCATAATTAAAAAACAAAACAGTAAAGCTTAGAACAGGAAATACCTACTAGTGGTGAAGGGCCACTGGGCTGGTAAGTACAGACAGCAAGAAACTTAGAACTAGGAATCCCTAAAAATAATGAAGTAGAGTAAAATAGGCACTAAATATTTCAAATATCTTTCTAGTCCATATCATGGTACCACAGACAACAGAACTTAGGTAAGTAGGAGCAGACAGCCAGGTCCCCCTCGTCCTTAACAGCCACTCACTGGTTAACCCATAAAGTCCCATCAGTTCAAGCATTCATAATGACAGTGAGAAACAACAGTAATACTAGTTTTCACACCATGCTCTCCTTTTGAACTTTTAAAGCCTTTTAATATTTCCATTACTGGCCCAGGAAGGGTATTTTACAGATGATTCAACAGTCACAGGAATTAGAATTAGATATACAGTCACCTAACCCAGGCATGGTGTTTAGAAATGCATTCTCCAAGGCCTCAAAGCACTCACTCTGCTCTTTATAATACACAACTACAAACTATCCTTAATAAAAATATTCACAAAACAAGCACTTTTATCACATGCCTTTTATAAAGTTTCTGTACTAAGTTGTCTATGGTCTCGAGAGATTGGAGTTTTAGGCTAGTGCTCTGAAAATTTAATAAATGGAGACCCAGCACCCACTAGATAAAAGCATGTCTTACCATTCGTTTTCAGTGCCACGAGCTTCCTGACTTCACGACACCAGTTGAGCTTCCTCTGGCTTTCCAGGGAGGCCTGGATATTTCTGTCAATGAGAGCTTTGTGGATGATCTCCCGAAACTGTGCACAAAACTGGCAAGTTCTGAACATTTCCAGCGTGTATCGATGCATGGATTTAAAATGATGAATGATTCCATTGGTCGGCTTAAAAATATCCTCAGGAGTTCTCTCTCTTATCTTCACAGCTTTTCGCATATTGCTCAAATACAAGGCCTGAGGAAGGAGTTGTTCAGCCATTGTGCTCTGCAACACCTGAAGAGGAGGGGAAACAAAACCCATTCCGTTAGCTCGCCTTTGATGCTACTCCCATAAACCTGCCTGCAGGAAACCCCAGTGTTGGACCTTGTCATTACCCTAATCTGTAGGCAAAAGATCTTAGTCACCTCTCTTCCCAGGATACTAGCTGGCCCCAAAGATGAACTCACACTGGACTATTTTAAGTTACATCACTTTTAAAGATTAGTCTAAACAAGAGAAGGAAGGCGGAGAGTGGGTACTGAGGAGGAGGGGAATAACCCATGTTTTCAGTAATATTTGTCAGGGAGTCAAGCTTGTCTGTCAGCAACAGGTACTGAGCCTCATCACCGACAAGCTCCCATTGCAATCTGATGCCACTCTGGGGCAGCCACTGGATTTTCAGAGCTCTGAATGGCAGCTGCAGGAACCAGGGAGCCCTGACAAGTCTGGAGTTCCTCCCCTAAGACCACCGCCAAGCGATTCCTGCTCTCAGGCAGTCTTGATTGATCTCTTTGAAGCACTCCTTCCCTATACTGGGAACATATATGTTTTGTGAAAAATCCTGCAATTTTATGCTGTCATCTAGGTTGCTGACCAGGGCTTCCCTGGCCCCAAAGATTAGTATTTATAAAGAGTTTATTTATAAAACTAACTATACTATTTATAAAGAGTTAAAATGGAATGTTGTATAAGCAACAAAAAAGCCTATTTCCATCAAGCTGCTTTGCAATTTTAAGAGCAAACAATCAGCAGTCTTTCGGAGCCTCTTCAATGAACTTTACAGCATCAGAATAAGAAATAGGATAACAATAATAATAGAATAATAAATACCACATTTGCAAAAGCAGGCACTGGAGCTCAATTATTTCAACTTCAACTGCCAGCCAGATTTATTATCATCCCCTAGGAAGTAACACTCAGATGCATTTCTCACCCTGTCTTCACTCTGAAACCTTCAAGCATAATAAACCAGTGGAAAGAAAGGAAAGTCTGGAGGAAAGAACCAGGGAGCCATTCGGGACGAATGAAAGAGGAGAGGAGGAAACCCCAACATATACGACCAATGCCAAGAGCATGGAATGATATGATTGACACCACGTGAGATCTTTGCAGGGAGCAGTGTGGAGAGACAGTTCTCATTCATTAGCCTTTGGTGGAGTGCCTCACCATACATGCTAATTTCCAAGACGACGATAAAGATGATTTGAGAACATGAAGACCCTCCCTAGGAAGTTTCCCAGCAATTGTTAGTCCCACTCCTACATCATACTATTTGCCAGGACGAGCCTGTAGTTTCTATAAAAGGGAGAAGAAACCTAGATTTTAGGGAAGGCACTCTTGTGGGTCTCGACTCTTAAAGCCATTAATAATAAGGTAGTTGAAATCCTTGTGGCCCAGTCAAAGGAGACAGGTTGGACTAGATGACCCCAAGGTGGCTTTTGTGGAGTTTTCTGGAGTGATTGTTTTGGATAGCGATTCTTAATCTGACTGCCAGTGGGGCCTGGGAGAAGTCACTGACTGAGTCAGATGGCAATCTCTCCTTCAATGTCAGACATTGGGCAAAATTACAGCAGGACCACAGATGCGATGAAGGGACAAAAATATCACACACACTTCCCCTTTGTGGCCTGGCAAAATCTCTTTCATGATGTCATTCATTCATTCACTCATTCATCCATCCACCCATCAAGCAGCGCCCAACCACCCACCAAAGGGCCAGGTTTGATGCTCGGGCTAAACATCAAAGACAAACTTATTCCCTGTCTTGAGATGACACAATCACCTTAGTCTGTAGCTGCGGCAACAAAAGCACAGGTCCTGCTCATGTGCCACACCATCCAAGGGCAGAGCTTTGCCAAGAAGCCAGGTCTTCCAAAACCTGCCTCTTGCTCTTCTCACAATACCAGACCTGTGGCTGCAGTGCCTGCCGGCCCTCAGATGGAGACAGGTGTGCAGTAGGAAGATTTGAAACAAGCCAGGTTTTGCCTCTTTCTGCCTTTCTGTCTCTTCCGTTATTCTCTTCTGACCTAAAGATCTTTCAGTGAAGATCTCAGATACTGACAACTGTATACCATATGCAAGACATGCAAATGCCAATATTTGATAGCCTAGTGTCATCTCATAGGTTTAGCCTTGCTTAATCTGCAGAATTGCCTCCTTAAAAGAAATCAAAAGCCACTGCCCAAGTTCCAATCCTTGGACTTCTCCACACTTAAGATTAAATAATAAATTTTCCTGACCTGTGACTGTAATGTCTTTGTAAGCAAAAACATACGTGGTCCAGAGGACTCTTTAATGAACATTTTGTTTCTCCCAAAATGCTACCCTGAGACACTTGACCACATCAGCTTTCCAAAGAAATATCAGAGGCAGGGAGAACTGAAAACAAAGCGGTCTCAAAAAGGGCTGAGCTCCTTCCTTACTATCACTGCTTTCCTGAGAAGGCCAGGTGGCAGGATGTGGGACGACCCGGGCTGACAAAAACTGTCTGCGGACTTGGAGCTGGGGCAGGGGCCTGCAGATCGCTCTAAACTGGAGCCCCCACCCCCCGCCAAGGCAGGCCAACGACGCACTTCCACATGCACACTTCTCTTACACTGCTGCAACCGAGGAGACCCCCTCCTCCCTGCATTTAACCCCGGGGGATATGCAAGCTGTCCCTCGAAAGGTCGCTGACTGAGTCCCCCAATCCCCGCCGGGTTTTGTTGCTCTGGGACATCCCACCCGCGTTAGGCTGGCTCTGCAAAATCTGGGAAGCAACCACAGCGGTTCTGCAAGGTCTACGTGGCCGTGAGCATGCAGCACTTGATTTACCCCAACCACCAAAACAAGACGCTAAAAGAAGCAGCACTAAGGACCACCCGACCAAGCGGCCGCGGGCCGACTCTCCACCAGTCAGATCCAGTTTATTTAAGTTTTCGGCATTATCTGCGAGGAAGAGCTGGCTGGAGGAATCCAGGGTTGTCACCATTAACATCTGGCGCGGCGACCTCAACTCCCAGCGTTTCCAAACCTACAATGGCCAACGAACTCCCCTGCAAAGAGGACCGCTGCAAAACCAATGCCAGACAGAGAGGCCGGCCCGCGAGTCGCTGCCAAACATGCACCCGCAGCCGTCGCCCGGAGGAGCCGGTGACAGACCGCACGGGTCGCGGCAATTACCTCTGGGGGCGCACGAGCCTCTCCCGAAGTCCCAAGTCCTGCTCAAGGCAGGCGCGCGCCGCAGGCCGGGGTCGGGGCCGGGCAGAGGGGGCGCCCCATGGACGCCGGGGCTGGCGCTCACTCGCTGGCCTGGCCGGCCGGGGGTGTGTATGGATCGCGCCCGCCGCCGCCGCCGCCGCCGCCGCCGCACTTCTCCCGGCGGCCGCTCGCGCCGCTCCGCCCCCGCGGGCTCCGAGCTCTCTGCACTTGGCCCGCCGCGAAGGCTGCAGACTGCCAGTTCTCTTTTTTCCCTTTCTGTTTTACCGCCCGGGGACCGGGGGATTTCCACCCAGGGACTTTCCAGTCACGTGACGCCTGGCCGGCCCGGGGAGCCCGCGGCCGGTGCGCCGCCTGCCGCCAGGGGGCGAGGAGGGCGCGGGAGGGAGATGCCCGCCCTGCAGCGTCGCCCCGCCCCGCTCCGCCCCGCTTCGCCCCGCCCCGCCTGCTGCCCGAGAAACTCCTGCGCTTCGCCCCCGGGTGTCCCCGCGTGAGTCACCTGGGCATTTCGGAAGCTGGGGCCAACGTCACATCCATGTGGAAATCGCGGTGATGGGAACTGGAAATGAAATAGGTTCTTTTTCTCAAACGTTTTTCTGCAGAAAATCATCAACTGTGGAGAACAAGAAGGGAAATAATAAAACAAGAAAACCCTAAAAAACCACCCCTGCACCCAGGACCGCAGGCCTCCAGCCGGGTCTGAAAAGCTGGGGCTGCGCACGTGATGAACTCGTAGGGGAGCGCCCTACTCATGGTCCCGAGGGGATTTCGAGAAAAAGAAGCAGTCACAGGGCTGGGTCTTCAGCTACAGCGTGCCTCCCAGCCCCGGAGGCCAGACTGGTGAGATGCAGGTCGCAGGTGACATCAGGCCCCGGGCCTATGGCCTTGAAATTCTAAGGCCAGTCTTAAATAAAACTGGGCATCAGAACAGCTACCAACCCTATTCCACACTTGATTTATTTCCCCTTCTCCATTTCTGCACACCAACTGCAGAGGTGGAGTGGAATTCAGGGAGCATTTCAGCCTAGAACTCACTTCTAGTCCACTGTCCTTGTCATGTCCCCCTATGACCTCATTAGGAGTCTTTTTAAAGGTCCCAATAATTAGACCACCGCAAGGTGTCTAAATGGCTGATAATATTCTCACCCACCCTTCCTTATTAAATAGCATGTAACCCACTGTGTTCACCCAGAAGTGTCCTGTGGAAATTGGTGTCAGCCACCTGTGCAGTGGGGGTACCTGAGCTGTGAAGGGAGGGGCAGTAGGCACTTTTACTGCCTAGGGTGTCCCTGCTGTCCCATTTCTTAGAATGGGGAAACCAGAACCAGATGGAAATATTCTGTGCTACTGACTCCTTATAGACTTAAGAATAGTTGTTAGGCCATGTATCTCGCCTTCCAAATTACAAAAATATGCTTCTCTAACAAGGGTCTGCAGAGAAAGGCATGGGGGCTGAGTGGCAGCTGGCACATTTTTAGCAAAGGGAGACTTAGAGCAGAGAGTGAGCAGCGGCCAAGGGTCCACGCTGGTGAATCAGAAGGAAAGGGTAAAGAGGAAGGGAGAATGTAGGAGAGACACCTTATGGGGAAGGAGATACAAAATTTGGGGAGATACGTGGAATGATTGAAACCAAAGAGACACGGAGGGTCCAGAGCCTTGCAAGGGACTTTAATTTCTGCAATAGACATTAGCAAGGTGAACAGAACAAAGAGGAAGGAATATTTATTCACATCTAGTGGACACATAGGAGAAAAACCCCTATTTCCTATTAAGAGGAAAGATGCCTTCTGATTATGAGGAGTGCTTTTGAAGAATATCTGAATTAAGTGCCATTTCTATTGTGGTGCAGGGGTCACATGACATGAACTGCAAACAGTGAGCATATGTGACCCCTTGGAATTAGATAGTCTGTGGGACTGTGTCTGCAGACTGTGTGCTTATACCACATAATCAAAAGGATCTGCATCGCCAAATAGCGATGGGGGTGGGGGACTGGGGTGGAGAAATCCTATTGAAGAGAGACATATATGACAACTGGGAAAGGGCCCTGAATCTGGCTCAGCTGAAACCACAAATCATGAGCCTTTCTTAATCAGGAAACAGCCATGGTGTATTTCTGAGTGTGTGTGGGATTCCTGGACATGGCAATCATGGGTCAAACTAAAAATCAGACATTTCGTGTCTGTTGTACAATTGTTCCTCTTTCCCAGCATTGTGATTTTGAAAAGGAATATACATATTAAACATATTTTGTAACAGCCTTATGTAAGTATGGCTATTTAGTTATTTCAAGGTAGCTTTGAATCTTGCTTCAAATTTAATAACTCTTGGCTGAGCCTTGTGATTACTAACAAGTGATGTCTGCGCCTTCAAGTCACTATAAGGGCTAATTTTGAGAAGCCAATAGAAGTTCTTTGTGAGCCGTAACTACTAGGAGAATTTAGATCATGATGTCATAGATTTCATCATGATACACATGCCAAATTCACCTGAAATGCTCTTCTTATCTAGAGACTTCAGATCTTCTATAGGTATTATCAGGGTGAATGGAGAAATTAACCTCAGGGATAAAGGGATTTAACTGAGGTAGCCCAATGAGTCACCAGTAATAGGAACAAAGACCCTCCCCTGGAAGGGAAGGAATTGGTTTAATGCCAAGTGCAGCTCCTCTTATTCCTCTTTGCCTGAAAGCATGGGATGTTGAAATGTAACACTTGTCAGAAAATTCAATCCCCAGTGAATTCTGGTTTAATTTCCTGTCAACACTTGGCCTGAAACACTTGGCAAAGTAGTTTTATTTTATATCATGAATATAAATATTCAATTCTTGGTTTCATTTCTGTTTCTGTGGAGGTTGCTGTTGACAACCAAGTATGAACAATGACAAAAAGATCTGAAATGGGTATTACTAGGAATGGCTGGCGTGCAGGGTTGGGTTTAGCAGCACGCTGGATGCTAACTGAAATAAACTAATTCCTGTTATTGGGAATAGTGCACCCACTGTACACATTTGCCTTTGATGCTCCCCTCCCTTTGCTCTTCATTTGTCCCTAAATTCTCTCAGTTCAGTTTGGGGTGTCCATAATCCTGCCTTCTTGCTACCCCTGCATCCTCTCCATCCTTACCTTCATCTCTATAAAAAAGGGCTTCAGCATTCATTCTTTCTGGGGTCTGTTTTCTGAGACTGGCTAGTCTAATGTAATTCATGTTCATTTTCAAAAGCAGACTGCAATGTGTTATCATGTTATATTTCTTGAGAAGCATTTCTGTCAAAACCACAACTTCCTAGACCTTAATGGTGGAAATTGCACATGCCATAGCAGATTGAAGAAGCTGCTGTAGTTCCATGATTCTAGGAGTCCATGGTTGTAAGAACATCATCTATTTAATAACATGGTGGGCAGGAGAAACAACCTCAATGTATTAAATGTACACCTGTTCCTTTCTTTACTCATTGACAGTGGGCTGCATTTACTGATGTGATTAATTCCTCTTTCTTCTTCACTGTGTAGGAAGGAAAGATTTTTCCTCTACCTTCTTGGTTTCAATAGCTGGGTCTTTGATACGAACTGACAACAGGCAGATTAACAGGAGAAAAGGTAAACTAATTTATTAATTTTTATATTACATGCATGGGAGCATCACAGGGAAAAAGTAGCTGATTCCGCCCAAAATGGGGCTATTTGATCACTTATATAGAGATCTGAGCCTTAATAGGGGAAGAAGAGAGGGGAGGTAGGCACCTTGGGGTAGAGAAAAGGAATTTTAGGGAAGATGGCTATGCCTTAGAAGAACAGATGGGAGGTAAGATAGTTTGTGACAAAGTTTGTCTTGGTGTGGTGTTGGTTTCTAGTCTCCTCTCCTGTAATAAGAGTCCATCTTCCCTGGTTGATGAAACTGAGGGAGAGGATGGACGACAGTTGAGTTTATTTTGGAGGAACTGTCTTTAGGCAGATAAGGGGAGTTAAGGGGAAGCCTTTCCCAGCATTTGCTTTTTTTCTTGTGCCTTTAGCTCATAATAATCAATATACCAAAGTGCAGATTTGGGGATGTATGTCCTGAGCTTTATCAGCAAAACTCACTCCTATTGTGTTATTTGTGTTTTTAGCTTGATAAAAAGCTCAATTTAACTTAAACTTGGATTCCTATTAGTTGAATCAAGTATCTTTAAATGATACGTTATGATACTGGATTGATGCTAAAAGAGAAAAGCACTGAACAAAAGTGCATGGAAATATTCTAACAGAAGCAAGTGGTCATCATCAGAGAAATGACTGCTCTTCCATCATTTCTAGTACAGCAGGGACCAATGGCCTTTTGGGACCTTAAAGGAAGGGTTCCCACGTAGAGATAAAGCTGATTAACGTGTAATAGAGATACAGGCCAAACCTCAAGATTAAAGGCTTATACACTGCCAAATTCCTTTCCAAAGCTAGAAGGTACCTCTCACTGAATAGAGTATCTTAAAAGACTAACTCTGTTTCCAGTTGACCTTCAAGGTAAGTATGGAGGACTTTATTTTATGGTTAGTCATGAAGTTCTAAAGAGACAAGAAGAGGAGCCAGGTTACTGAAAACAGCCTATTGACGCGTGGACATACTGACAATACTTGACAGCTGTCAAGAGCCAAAATCAGCTTCAAAGGATGGTAAAATTCCAAGAAGCTTTAGAGCCATATATGGATGGTGACAGTTGAAGGAGTCCAGGGCATGCCAACTCAAAATATGCACTTTGGTGTGTTGATTATTTTGAGCTGAAGGCACATGGGAAAACAAGTGCCTGGGGCTGCCTGGGTTTGCACACTCAAAATAAATCTGCTGCATCTGTCTAGACACTTGGAGCTCTCTAGAGAAAACTGCTGGAAAGGCAGGCATCAGGCTTCACCACCAGAGTGAAATGTAGTTTTCTCCTGAAACAAGTCACTCTGATGGTATCTTAGAGTAATACCCTCCAAATCAACTTGTTCATTGCAGCTCTGAAATAAACCCCTACAAAGAAATGCCTTGATTTTTGAGGCTTTCGTGGTTGGCTCTTGGCCTCTCTGGTTGAACCAACAGATGATGCTTGGGTTGGTCCTCAGTGATGTCAAACTTCCAAATTTGAACCAGTGTGGGATTTGAGACTTTAAAAAATTCTTTTAAATGAAAGAACTTAATTCATATGTACATTCCTGGCTTTGACCTTCAGGAAAAACATTACACTGCCTGAGTGGCTGAAAAATTCTTGGCCCTGAGCATTTTCATGGTAATCACTCAGAAATGCACAACCTGTTACATCTTATTTCCTAACGACAGCAGTTTTCCTTATGATAACCAAACTATTGCAGAACGCTGGATACTGCTGTTTTCAAAGTGGCTATCTAGAGCTCAATCAGAGGATCTGAATGGAAAACTCGTCACAACACAATGTGAACAGCCTCTGAAGCTAATAACCATTTACTCTGAGCCTTAAAGCCTCTGTTTTCATGTTTTCTTAGTTAATATTTGCTTTAGTCTTTTTAAAGCCTTTAAGTTGCAAATTCTAATAGAAATCATTTTGAGAAACTTCAAAAAAATGGTAGAACTTTTAACTGAACAAGAGATTATTTTTTCCCTTCTTAAACTGGCCTCATTTATAAAATGAAAGATTTGGAATACATTGGTCCCTAAGAGTCATACCAATTCTAACATTTTATCCTTCTGTTGTTCCATCAAGAAAATTGTGTATGAATAGATATTCCAGTGAGTTATATTTAGTATAGAAAGCTGAGTACAGATTGCTGGGTTTAAAGCCGCATTCTGCTACTTCCTAGCTAACTGACCTTGGACACATCACTTCTCTGCCTTTAGTTCTGCACTTGAGAAATGGAGATAATAATAGGACCAAAGATTATTAGAAGGTTTGCATAAATTAATGCATGTGATGTGCTTACAGTAGTGGTTGACACATAGTAATGTTAATTATTTGTTCATTTTAGTGATAGGACAAATCTTATTCCAAGGTTTGCTTAGAATTAATCATACTAGAAGGTACAACAAGACATTTCATGGTTGTTTTCCTTATTAGTGGGGAAGAATATTATCTCTGTTTTGCAAAAGAGTCCAAGAATTCCTATCTACATTTACTTTTTTTTTACAAGTATATAATTATAGAACTTTTAAATGTTAGCAAATGATGGGACTTTATAAACCATCAAACTGATGATTTTCTCTCCTATTTCTTTTTGCCAATGTTTTAAAAGTTTTAATAAATATTTTCCCCAGTTTTATTGAAGTATAATTGACAACTAAGAACTGTCTACATTTAAGGTATACAATGTGATGATGTGATATATGTACACATTGTGAAATAATTACCACACCAAGCTAATCAACATACCCATCACCTTACATAGTTACCATATTGTGTGTGTGGTAAGAACTCTTTAGATTTATTCCCTTTGCAAATTTCAAGTATTCAAATAGTATATTATTTTTCAAGGAAACATTTTGATTTTTTTATCCATTAAAAAACAGTGCAGGAAATCAATTTTAGTTCATTTACTCTTATTTGGAATTCACTGAATGTATTTTTAGCAGCATCATTTACTTTTATGTAAATAACCTGATTTCTTGTCCACAGCATAACAGATATTTCTTAAATGAAAGATTGTATCTATTTAAGGGGTTCAACATTATGTTTTGGTATACATATACACGGTGGAATGATTAATATGGTCAAACTAACTGACAACTGACATACCCAACTCCTCACACAGTTACCAGTGTGTGTGTGTGTGTGTGTGTGTGTGTGTGTGTGTGTGTGTGTGGTGAGGGCACCTGAAATCTACTCTTTCAGCAAATTTCTTGGATTATCTATAATCATGCTGCACTTCTGATCTCTAGACTCATTTTTCATTCTCTAGAACTGCAGCTTTGTACTCTTCAATCAACATAACCTCATTTTCTCCACCTCCCTGCCCTAGTACAGTCACCATGCTGTACATTAGACCCAGAAAGTTTGTGCTCTTTGACCAATATCTTCTTCTTTTCAGAAATCCCAGAGCTCCTTGGAGATGATACACAGGTCATCCTCAGGGGCATGCCTGATGGGTGAGGAAGGATGAGCTTCTACAGCAGCTCACCTAATTCCAACAGCGTGGCTTTGCTTCCGTTGACTTGGTATATTGTGATTCTTGGTAAAAATTTATCTGATTTATCACAAATTTCCACATTTTACAGATGAAGAAACCTAGTCTCAGTGAGGTGAACTGATGTTGCCAAGGACACACAGCAGGTGAATACCAGACCAGAAACAAAACCCAGGTTTCATGCCTGCCCAAGAGACCACTTTCTACACCATGCTACCACGGAAACTCAAACAGACAAGAGTGAAAACAAACAAACTCACAAACAACAACGAAAAAACCCGAAGTGTCTCTAAGAAATACCAACACATTTTTTGCCAAGCAGGGTTTCTTCCGTTTGGTATGGGACTGAAAAAGGAGTATGGGCTGAACCAAAGGAAGTAGAATTTAGAGGTTAAATAAGATACCAGCAACTGGGCCTTTATATTGTTCCTATAATGTAACTTCCCTATCTATGAAAAAAAGAATATTTTGCTTGATGAAGGACATATCCCAAGGGCCAAATAATATATATGTGTCAAGCACCCTGGGATTCAGGGGTGAGAAATTCCCTACAACTCTGAAGCAAGCATTATAATCTGAGGTTTCCTGACAGTTTCTGCAAGAAAAGAAATACTAACCTTCTTTTCCAGGCCAAATGCCAAGTGAGGTAATTAGCCTTTGCCCACTTTTTTCCCCCACACCAGTTTCATTAGATAAGGACTCTGCCTTCATTTCCTTTCGTGAACTGAATTGCAGTGTGGCCACATGCCTATCAACAATGGATAAAAACCCAGTTTGCTGGATGTGTTTCCCTTCAGAATACACAAAGTTTTGCCATAAGTACCTGGCTTTTTTCAGGGTACAAAATGCTTGCCAGGGAGCAAAGAGTTAGGAGACAAGTTTCTATGTTTTCCAACACTAGATCTCTTAGCTTCAAGTCTGCTCCAGAGACCCAGAGGGCATCAGTAAGCCATACATTCCTGCTAATTCTGAGTATGTCTTGCAGACATTAAGGGGAAGGCTTTAATAAATTACTCAGAAAACAATTGTTAACTAGATCACAGTCTTGCTGTCAGTCTTCCACCCACACCCTGCCCTCTACTCCTTAAAAAACTGCCCCAAAAAACAATGGATCCATAGAGTCACAGAAGACACTCTGTCCATTGACAATGTGACTTTTCCACAGCAGTAGAATGGCAGTGCCCAATGCCTGTTCAAGCAGGGCTTTGTACTCGGAAAGAGCTGAGCATTAGTACTAACCACACTACTTAATAGCAAGGCTGTTTTAGGCAAGTTACTCATCTTCTCAAAGCCTTTTTCCTCAGACTTACAGATTTTTTACTTAAAATATTTTGGAGCTGTCCCATATCAGTACCTATAATCTACTTTATTATCTTCTCAGTGGCTACACAGAATTCCATTATTTAGTTGTACCATTATTTACCTGTTGATGGGCATTTAGATGGCTTCCAGTCTTTTGCTCTGGGAAGCAATGCTGCAATATGGGTTGGTC